TGCTCATTACTAAAGGTATCTGGATTGCAAAATGCGATATATCCAACGTCACACGGTGGCAAGATACACAGAAGTCACGTCGTGCGGCAGAACAAATATTGGGGTCTGCAGATTGTTTTTTCCACATAAGACAATGGGCCTGCAGGCTAACTTTCAATTCCATCGTCGAAAGTCGAACATGCGTTTGATACAAACATCAGATTGGCACAGTGAACTCAGCGCGAATCATGAGGAGCCACGAGTTTAAAGACTTCAGTCACAACCTGTGTTCTGCTGATCCGTTAAGACCACCTCAGTCCAAGTACACAAGAACCGATAAAACAATTAATCTTGTTTCTCGGCGCTGGTGAGAGCGCACGGTGAAATCAGCTAGTCACTGTCATTCAACCATTTTTCCATTTCCGTATACACAGCTGGATTGTTCTACTCGCCTGAAAAGAGCAAATTATATCTCTACGACATTTCTGCAGGTCGCTTTTTTGTGTCAGTGAATGGGATAGGAGGGACAGAACGATTACTAACAGAGCGTTGGACACAAACGCTACTTAGCAGTTTTGCCCCGATTATTATCCCCGTAACTGACCGGGTTTGAAGGTTTTAGGGGTTGGTGTAAATTTCATAATAGTGAGACTTTCGGCAACTTCGTGAGGATCTTTTCCTGCTCTTCTTGTGAGTTGTTCACTTGCTGTTCGCTTGGAACTGCCATAAATGTTCCAGCTTGATGTGTGCATTAGGAGAAGTACATCGCGGTTCATTTGATTAAATTAAGCTTATCACTTACGTTTTTGGAAGGCGACAGCTTTTTGTTACACAAAGCGAAATAAAACGACTGGATATTCATCTGAAAAAATTAAGTGCTGGTACATTATTGCAAGTCAAAAGCGACCCGATCAAACAACCACTTGTTCCCGGGCAACGGAGGAATCTCAGTGCTAAATTTTAATCAGCGTATTTCTGGGATATGTGACCCCCAACGTATAAGATAGACGCGATATCTCCCAGATGAATCAGTGAGGTTTCCGAGGGTTCGTCACGGTGGGTGATCATCACGCTGGTTTGACTCCTTTTCAAGCAGTGTTTTTATTGTAAAAATTTAGCGAATTTCCAGAGAATCTTGTCGAGTTAATTGCAGACG